CCAAATTAATATCTTAAAAACTTTATTAATAATCTTTATTTAAACAAATAATTTATATTCTTATAACTATATATAATAAATATAGTATATTTACAAAATATCAAAATTATTTTGTTAATTTAATTTTTTATAAAAACAATTTGCTTTTTTGAGATTTGAAATTTGTTCAAATTTTGTTAGCAAGTATAGTTACATCATGACAGAATGGATAATCAGAGAGTTTAAATGAATAATTTTTTAGTAGGTTATAGATATGATATTTAGTATAGAACCTTAGAGCTAACTATTTAAATAGGCAACCAAAAGTTGCATATATAACTAGTTGTAATAACTAGTTCAATAAAAGTTAATAAAGTATTATCACAAAGTATGGCCTTTAAAAAAAAAAAAAAAAAAAAAAAAAAAAAAAAAAAAAAAAAAAAAAAATAAAAAATTTTAAAAAAAAAAAAAAAAAAAAATTTAAAAATAAAATTAATAAAAAAAAAAAAAAAAAAAAAGAAAAAAAAAAAAAAAAAAAAAAAAAAAAAAAAAAAAAAAAAAAAAAAGTATAATAGTCTAAATATTTGTACAAAAAAAATAATAAATACTATTTAATATAATATTGGTTAAATATATATAAAAGTTTGTAATAGTAATATAATTAATAAAATAGTGATTAAAGAGTTTAAATAAATAATTTTTTAGCAGATTATAGATATAGCATTTAGTAAAACTCTAAAGTTAACTACTTAAATAAATAACCAAAAATTGTACAAATAACTAGTTATGCTATTATCTCTGTAAAAAATAATTGTATAAGCTAATCTTAAGTATATTAATAAAATATTATTATAAAGTACAGGTTTTTAAAAAAAATAAATAAATAATATTACAATTATTGTAGAGCTCAAAACTCTTTTCACTAATCACCAAAACACAAAACCTGCAGAAACAAAAATCAAAACTAACAGGAAAACCACTGTCAAAACTGTGCTCGAAGACTTAACAAAAAAAGAAAGAGCTTTAAAAATAGAACTAATAAGTAAAGCAGCAGAAGAAAACAAGCCAAGAAGTAAGTAAAAAAAGGACAAACTTTTCAAATGAACCTCAAAAAGCAAAAATTTTGGAGAAATAGCTTAGACCTGGAATCACAAATCTGTTTAAAACACATAAGCACATGAAAAGACAAACAAACAGACATGTACAAATATAAACAAAGTAAACACATAAGTATTATAGAATGCATATGATTGTAAACAAAGCAGTACAGAACACAGCCACAAATAATACAAGCAAAAGCAGAAGAGTCAATGATGCTAAAATTGGTAAGTGAAAGAGCAGAAGCAATACTAAAGCTCATAGGCAGCAAAGAATTAGAGCAAGAACTAGCAAATAGAGATAATCATTTCAATGTAAAAGATATAGTAGCAGCAGCACTATAAAAGATAAATTTAATGAAAACAGTAATGATAAAAAAAATATATGAAGTAATAATTAAACTAGACATGAGAGACCTAACAAGTGTAAAAAAATAGGCAAAAGAGATAAACTGCACAAGTCAACACCCACTAGCAATGCAAAGTATAAGAAGCAAAAAAGTCCAAACAGTATCAAAAGAGATAAACAACACACCAGAATTGTATATAGAGAAAATGAGACAAAAGACAGAAGCAGTAGACATAATAATAAATGAAAAAGAGATATGACAAAATACAAGTTTAGAAGAGAAAGAGAGACAAAAAAAAAGAAAAAGCAAAGAAGTTACAAATACAGAAACAACAAGCATGATAATCAAAGAGACAAAAATAGACAACTATATAGAAAAAGAAATAAAGACATTAAAGACAGACATAATGTAAGAAGACTTAATACTCTAGCCATGGCGAAAATAAAGTGTCAGATCATGTAATTTCCAAACTTTCGACCCATGACCTACCCTGACATTGCAGGTTCATGCAGCCAATCAAAATGCTTAAGAAAAATTATCAGTAGTACAATAGTAAACTATATACACATGCTCGAAAATTCTTGTACTATTATATATATTGCTTATTTCAATAATGATAATGTTAGTTTAGGTCTATGAGCTTTTTCTTATAATTAATATTATTGTTTAGTAAGTATAAATAAAAATTATGATTTGTAGGCAAAAAGATACTATGTTTAAAATTTTTTTTTTTTACAGAAATTCAAGATACTGAACAAGATTAAATAAATTAGCACAGGTAAATTTATCTTAATGATAGCTTTATTAATAATCTATTTATTATTTTTTCTTTTTAAAACTTATTAACTCACAAATAGATTAAGCATTATACAAATATGTATGGTTGAAGAAAAATTATAAAGAAGAGAGAAAATATAACTTTTGAAAAATTTCTGATTTTTTTAAACAATAAGAAAATACTGAAATCATTTTTAAGTGGTAGATCACAGTTGAAGGGTATAACTTTTATAATACAAATCAGTAGAAAATTACTATTACTTTCATATAATATTGAAATAAGAGAAAATGCCAATAGCTCGTAATCTACCAAACCAATTTGAATAATTCTATCACTATTAGAACTTGAATAGCTTGTTCTATAATCTTAAAAACTCAAAAAAGTTTTATTTGGCATAAAAAAACTTTTTATTATAAGCTAACTGCACTGCATTCCAACCTTATAGAAAAACTATATCAACTTCTGGTGATTTTTACTATTAAATTTATTTTTATACTCTTTAATTGCAATTTATCTCTTATTTGTTCTAACTATTATATTAGCATAACCAGAATGCAAGTTTTCCATATGACTTTCAAGTTCTCTGTTGATTACGATTTTGTAATACTTTCTGGCACTCATTAATTTCTTTTACCAACAGTCTCATCAATTTGTCAAAGACATCTGTAAAATTATTATTATCTATTTCTCTTTCATATAATACTAATGCTATATCTATTACCTTTTTATACTCAGAAAGTTTATCTCATCTTTTTTTTATGATATTGTGCTCTGCTGTTATTAAGGCATTTTGAGGATAAATAATATTCGAACATCCTTTATCATTAGACTCATCTGTTATAGTTATATTATATCTAACCCAAGGATTGTTTACTGGGTTGATTGTTAATACCATTACCTTATCCTTTTCAAATATAATTAAAAGATAGTCATATCAGCGGTTTGTCTTTGCAAAAGTAGGGTGAAAATTAGTGCCATCTTTTTTAGCTACAAGATGCTTACAGAAGAGGTAATGGCTATATAAATATGCAGAACATGAGTATATCCAGTTGCTAACATCAACATGATAAACTTCATCCATATCAGACTGAATTTCTGCTCTTGCTGCTTTGTCCCAATCTTGTTTGAAACCATCCCACCATGCTGGAAAAGTTCTATTATCATTATATTGGTCTAGCTTAAGCTCAGAATCAGGCACTAGTCATTCTATAAAAATTTGGATAAGGCGATCAAGTCTTAAACAATTATAATTGTATTTGTAGCTATATTTAAGAACCCACCAATAGCTTTCTGTAATCATGATAGTTCATGCTAATGGTAGAGTGGATGAATATGCTAATTGTGCAAAAAGTTTTTAGTCCTTTTTATTGTACCAATTTATCTACAGATAGCCTTAAAATTTATCAAGATTATGATTATGACAAAATAAGTAGGCCTTTTCTACACAATTATAGTAAATATTAGCAAAATTTCAGAAGGTATTTTTGGCTATTGGTATGATAGGGTGCATATTTGCATGCTTTTTAATTATTTCTAAAAATTCTTTAATAAAATTTTCTAGACACAGAATTCCAATATTAGTATTTGGTACCTAGGTTGGATTGATGAATTTAAATTGTTGATAAGCCTCTGCAGCTTTTATTTTAGTATATCCACTTGCTTTAAATTTTTTTTTTTACCTATCTATTTATAGCATGTTCAAAATGCCAATGACACAACTGAATATTGGTGATCTATAACTATGCCTCATATATTGCTAAAATTTTACTAGCATCTTTGTCTACAAGAACAAATGTTGAAAGCAGACCAATTTGTCTAAAATTATTGAAGAACTCATACAATACTTGTATTCTTGTATTTATTCGATTTTTAGAATCACTAAGTGCCAGTCCAGTACCATCAGATGTTAAAAGATAGAGGTATGCTAAGGGTATGCCATAGCTGCCATGATTGACATTTATGGCAAAAAGCTTAAAATGTTTCTAGTTTGTTTTAAATATAGAATCTACTATGATTTTATTTACATTTTTAACACCAATATGACTAAGCAATAGAGTTATGAATCCAAGAGCCCTTATAAAATCATTTTTAAGATAATAAATTGTCTTGCATCTTTTTTCTCTGAATTTGAATTGTTCAATATATTCCTTTGCTGATAAAATCTGGTTTTCTTGATTCATAATATAAGTATCCTTGCTAAAAACAGATACCTAATAATATACTTGCTCTATAGTATTCACTTTAGGATTTATGTGCTCTTCATCACATAGATGTCTATAGACTTCAGGATTTCGTATATTATATTTAATGTTCGATTTTATCCATTCTTTTGCAATTGTAGAAAATTGAATTCTTCATTAGTTTGGATTCAGATGTGTCTTTAAGTGTTGCCTATAAACTAAAATGTGTTGTTTTTGAAAATTGATTATAAGTGAAAACTTTCCATCACATGCACACCTATCTATTAGAGCTTGTGCCTCACTTTTCATCTTACTGGCTAGTCTTCAGATTTTTGCCATTGGTGGTTCTCTCATTGTGCACACCCAATATATATTGTCACACAGCCATTAAACTTCTTTTCACTATTATTTAGATATACTTTATGTATTTCTCAGTAATAATTAGATCCAGACTCGATTGTAATGATGATTATTTTGGCAATTAGATGAAAATTATTTTTGATTACTTCTAAATCTAGTGATTCTGATTGGAGATCACAAGCACTATATTTAACAAGTTGTGAATTTAACTCAATTTCAAATGAAATTTTTACAGGTTTATCATTATTCTCTAAGTTATGAAACTTTGTTCTAATATACTCTTCTATTTCATCAATGCTATATAGAAATTCACTCTTATCATCATTATAGTGATTATTTTCAGTATCACTTGCATTATTCACTTGTAGATTGTTTGTCATATCTTCTTTAAAGACTTCTTGTTCAAGAATTGGCTCTGTGTTCTCTAAATCATTATCAACACAAGTGCTTGAAGTATTGTTAGCAATTTTTGTATTAAGATTCACCCTCAAGAGCTTTGCTTTTTTTTACTAATATTGGATTTAAGTCTGTTTCTTGCTTTTTACTCATGTGCCTTTCATAACATCTATTACAGGTTGCATGTTTATAATTTGGGTTATCTCTATAAGGATAAATAAAATCGTTAATCTTCTTTGTAGTATAACACCCAGTACATATTTTAGTTTTAGAGGTTTGGATTGAATCTACTAGAAAAGATAAGTTTATTTTATTGATATCAAAAAAATATTGTTAATTCTTATACTGAATTAGAGATACCTTTACAGAAAGTTCTATCACTCATTTTGCATATATATTAATAAAAATTTATTTAAAGAATCTACGAAGAAAAATTTGGATCTGTCTATATGCTAGTTAAGGAGAAGGTTTAATTCAGATAGCAAATTTATTTATTTAAAATTTATTTACTTATTTATGCTTTTTTATGCTTTTTTATTTATTTAAATTTATTTACTTATTTATGATTTATCTTTACAAAAACTTTCTTTTATCTATTTTTTTTTCTGATGTATTCTTTAGAATTTCTTATTGTTATCTACTACATTTATTAATACCATATTTCTACCACGTCTTTTAATTACCATATTTTCACTATATCTTTTAATTACACTATTTTCATCATATTTTTAACCTTGTTTCTTAATTATCCTATATATGCTACATTTCAATTATTCTTTAAGTTATTTTATTTTACCATGTTTTCTGATTATGCTGCGCTACAATTATACCATTTCTATATAACACATTTTCTATTATTGTATTTTTATATATATGATATTTTCTATTATATTATTTTTATATATGTACTATATTTATTTATGTTTTATTACATATGGATCCATATATTTGTGGCTTATTAGATGTTACTTAATTATTTGGTAAGGAGTATATAGGCTATTATTGTAGATCACTTTAGTTCAAATTCTTGCATAAATTTTAATCCAATAAGCTTTACAATTTTAGTATGCTGATAGGTACATACAGGCTTAATATAATAAGCTTTAGAGTCATAAATGATCTTATTCTAAGTATATTAAGCAAATTGTATAATCATATAGTTATATCAAATTTATACTACTTACTACTATTTAGATTTAAAGTGCTATAATTTAAGGATGTAATAAGATTCATATCAATTAAATATTATCCTACTAAAAATTTTTTATAATTGTATCTTTAGCAAATGTTTAGAATTTCACAAATAAAATTTGAAACTATGTAGTAAAAATTTTTTTGCAATTTACCAAAATTTCGAATACATGTAAAAAATTACAATAAACATTTTTATTTGCTTGGTAATTACTTGGAAAATGCATACACTGTTTGAGAGTCTATTTGCTATACAAATAATTTAATTGGTTGGAGTAATGACCTTTGATATTCAGAGTTAGGTCTGGGTTGAAGCCATCAGAAATCATATAATCTGACACTTCATTTTCACCATGGCTAGGGTACTTAAGAAGACTATAAAGACATTATTATGCCAATTAGAAACCAAGAAGAAACTAAGAGAGATGAAAAAGATGGAATTCATAAAACTGAATAATAAAAAAACAGAGATATGACTATAGAAGAAGCACTAGAATGAAGTATCTGGTTATCCTTGAACAGAGAATGCAGTAATGAAAAAATGTATGTAACAAAAATACCAGTATACAATGTACCAGATAGTTCATAAGAAGAAAGAACAAAATTTGTTAAAAGATTGCTAGTATCTAACAAACATATTAAAAAGGTTAAAAAAATGTTTAAGAAAGGTAATGCTTGGATTATTGTCACATTTGACTATAAATATGACAAAGAAGAAGCAATCAACAAAATTCAAAAGAAACACAATAATTGGTTTAGAATAATTCCAGATATAGACAAATCAGAAGAAGAGAAGACCAAAAAAAGTGAGAAGTTAAAGCAAAAAAAATGAGCTAATAAAAGAAAAGAAGAATAAAGAAGAAGCTAAAAGAACAGAAGACAATTCACACAACTAAAAAAAAGGAAATATAAACAAAAGAAATAAAGAAAACACAGTAGCAGTAATAGTATGAAACCTGTTGAAGAAGATAGCAGAGTATGAAATTAAGTATCTAGTAAGAAAAATAGGTAAAGTAACAGAATGCAGAATCTGAAAAAATGCATACAGAACAATGGCAGAAATAAAAGTAAAGAGAAAAGAAGAACAAGCATTTCCATAAATAATTTTTTTAAAAAATAGAAAGTTAGCAAGAATAACAATAGGTAAAGAAGAAGAGGAGAAGAAAGAAAAAAAAATCAATTCACAGCAAGACTGATAGAAATACCAAAGAGAATCTCAGAACTAATTCTACTATGAGAGCTCAAAACCAGAAAGGCAATGGAAGTATACATTCCATCAAACAAATGGAAAAGACTAAGAAATTATGCAGTAGTGTCATTTAAAAGTCAGAAAGATATGAATATAACTACTAGAAAAAAGGTCTAATACAATGGAGTTTCGATGTTCTAGGAAGTCAAACCAAAAAGATTAGATGATCAACCTTATAAAGACAGCAACAAAATACAAAAGATACAAAAGAAAGAAGAAATAGAAGACCTCAACTTAGAAGAAGAGCATACAGATCCAGAAGAATATATAAAGAGGAATAAATATAGTACAAGACTGAATAATAAAAGGAATAAATAAGAAAACAGAAGCTACCAAAACAAAAAAAATAGAGAAAAAATTTAGCAAATACAGACCAAAAAGAAAATAGGCCAAGAAAAGAAATTCAGAATATAAGAAAAGCAAAAGAGCAGGCATCAGACATGAAAAACATATTAGATTAAATACTAAAAAGACTAGAAAAATTAGAGATAGCTGAAAAAAGAGCATAAAAGGCTGAACCAGATCACTCCTAAAGGTGCCATAGTTGAATTAACAAGAACAGATGAGGAAGTCAAGAATTTTCAGCAAAGAGAAAGAGAAGTTTTTGAAGAAAGAATAATATCTTCTTATCTAAAAGAAAAGAAATGCAGAAAAAAAAAAAAAGCAGTTAACACAGAATTATTACAAAACTAGTTAAAAGAGAAGTGAAAAGAAGGAAAAAAAGAGATAAAAGTAGCATGTCACAATATCAACAGACTAAAAACCAAAGGTTGGAAACTTGAAAACCTGCTCAGCTGAGCAGAAGAAGAAGAAATTACAATACTGGGAATTACTGAAATGAATCTTGCAGAAAGAGAAGGAAAATTTTTACTACACAAATAACAAAAAGATATGTTGGTTTTTGGAGTAGCACAGCAGAAGATAAGAAAAAAGAATCAGGTATAGGGGTACTAATAGAAAAACAATAGGCAAAACATGAAGACATGATTAGGAAGATAAATGAGTATATAATAGAAATTATACTATACTTCAAGCAAATAGAATTAATAGTAATAGAGGTCTATATACCACCAAGTGACAAAGAAGTAAGAAGAAATGTTCAACAAAAAATAGTTGAAATTATTACAAAGAAGAATAGATGAACACAAATAATGATTATGGGAGACTTTAATCACATAGTGAACAATGTTCTAGATAGGCAGAACCTACAAGCTGTAAATTATAAAAGATTACTATTATTTAGTTGAATAAAGAGACAGGACTTTTATGATACATATAGAGAAATGCACCTAATAGAACAAAGATACACATGGTCAAACTCAGAAACAGCAACAAGAATTGACTATATATAGGTATTAGAAAGACTGGCTTCAGGTCTACAAAGAGCAGAATTTGAGGACTTAAAAGAAATCACTGAAAGTGATCACAAGATAATTATAGCAGAAATATAGATAAGACACATAATCACAAAAAATAGCAAAGCAAAAGTCAAAAGAAAAGACCAATCAAGAACAATATATTTTTATAATAAAGCAAAAAAGAAAGAGTGTAAGAGTTATGTGCAAGAGATACAGAAGTGATTAGAAATAAAAAAAACTTTAAGAAACATACAAAGAGAAGAACAAGAAGAGAAAGAGAAAATATGAAAAATTAATAAAATATAGGATATAATAGAGGAGGCAATTATAATAGTAGCAAATAAACATATACCAAAGAAGAAAGTTTACAATACAATAATAAACAGAAGACATAGCCAAAAAGATCAACAGCAAGGAAAAATCATCATAGAGCTTCAAAAACTAGTTAAGTATGCAAAAACAAAAAGAGAACAAAAAGTAACTAAAGCAGATAAAAGTAAAGTGAATAGAAACCTCAAGATGCTTAGCAAGAAAATTGGTGCAAGACTACCAAAAATCCAAAGACAATGGTCTGATGCTTG